CTTGAACCCGCTGTCGTCCACGACCACTCGTGATCACAGTTCAAGACTCAACTAACTCGATTTGAAGAGAAGTTAGATAAAATTTATAAAAAAAAATAGACAGCTGAAAGGTATTCAATAAGCTTGTCACGTAAGTTCAACGAACTTTAAGCTCTAGCAATGTGAAATCTAATTTTGTATTTACTTGAAGATGTATGAGATAAAATGATACGTTTAGAGACTTTTAATGTGTTATTTAAATAAGTGCCAAGAAAAATATAGAGTGGAAATGAACTCATCTCCCACCCACCCACGTCTGCGGACCGACCGATTGTTCTGTAACATGTATTGCTTCTTCCCCGGGGTATGGTTTGAAGTGATTACGTCTTCGCCTTTACCATTACACCACCAGCCACCGAAGAGTTCATCCCTAGGATCTTGTAACCGTTGTATCCGTATCATAGATGCCGTCACGTCATTACGGATCCTCCCGATCCATTAACGGTGCTTTTAAGTACCTCAAGCACCGGTCACCGTCCTCATCGAACCCATCGCTTGCGATGAAGAGCTTGACGAGTGAATTAACCCATAGACACAGCCCACTGAGTTTCGCGCCGGATCTTCTCAGTGGGTCGCGTTTCCGATTCGGTGGTAGATTCTGCGAAGCACTGCTCTTGCTAGGGCCAGTGTTAGCAACACTTCCGGTTTGAGCCCCGTGAGCTCACCTACATGTTAGGGCGAAGCTGAAATAGCCTCTCAAGGCTATCAGCATAGGTAGGAAAAAAAAATTGATGCCACGGCTACAATATTTATTTGTTTACCTTTTCATTCAGGATTAATACACACAGTGGCTTATTAGCTTCTTTGTAATAAGGCGCATCCACCATATCTACATGGTACATATCAAAACATAAAATCGAACAACCCTCGATTGACGTCGTAAAATAAAGCGGCGCACACACGGCCGGCTCGACTGAAGATAAGGCACGGTACCCACTCAAACTTTAATTAATACCAGATTTATGCAAAGAAAAAACCGCTCGTACGTGACCAAAAGGGTGTATGAACGCAGCTTTATGGCGTACTATGATCACGTGACAGTACGAGTTAAATAAGTTTTAGTTTCAGAAGGTGATTGTGAGTTATGCTGTCTGGAGTACCTTACCTGTGCCTGTATCCTAAACGAAGCATTCGAGAGTGTGTGCAAATTATTATTCCATTAATTGTACGCCAAAGCTCACCTCTCTGTGCACAGAACCTAAACAAACAAAGAATTCGTTGGAAAAGCCCACAAGACCGGCAGCCATCAATCTGGTGTGTAGTCTTCGAAAGGCAGTTAATCACCCGTGTTAGTTGTCAGTCCTGCTGTCTGTCTGACGCTGCGTGGAGTTCATTAGAGGCTCACTCAGAGCTGAGTTCATCCAGGAACCGGAATTTGATTGTGTGGTCCTATTTATTTACGGGGTATACAATGCGACTCCTAACATCTATAAATATTCTATAAGCAAACAATTAGTATTAAAAACAGTTTGCGTATTGTGAAAAAGCTATGATTTTTAATACGCTTTTATTAGCTTCAGACGTATGTTTGTAACGGAATCTTTGAACATGATTTTGACCCCCTTCAAAACGTCGGATCAACTCGAAATTTGGTATACTTATTAAGGACCGATGACAATCAATATTTAAAAAAAAACATTGAAAAAAATGAAATTTAACTAAAAAATGAAAAATAAATTATAGTTTCAAAAAACTAACAAAATACGCTTTTATAGAAAATCCAACTAAAAAATAGAAAATAAATTTGAATTAAAAATAGTGTAAGAAAAAATGATTTTATTGTAAAAAAAAGCGTAGGGACCATGTTATCAGTAGTTATAAATATTTTATGAATTGATATGAGTAGAAGGGTTATATTTTGAAAATATCCTGAAAAGCACCCCACGCCTTTTTACAATAATAACATATTTTCTTACACTATCTATTTTTTAGTTGGATTTGCTATAAAAGCGTATTTTTTTAGTTTTTTTAAACTATTATAAAATTTATTAAAATAACAAATGTCAACCGAACCTGTTTTGAAACTTTATTGCACTAGAGTGATATGCTCGCTCAATTCTTTGCTGTTTTGTGACAGTAACGGACTGGGGGAGGAGTTATATTGCGTGTTTGCACCACCAGTAACTACTTAAAGAACTCAATTAAATTCGGCAGATTTTCCGGATTTATTTTTGATTATGCATAACGTTATTCGGCGCCGCGGAACTTGTTCTTGAACAAGTCCTATCGATTGATTTACAAACACGTTTCTGACAGCTTTTTTTAACCGCAAGTTCATTTTACGAACGGTTATTTCAAACGCTTCATACACGTGATAGTCAACTATGATATTAGTAATGCCAATAATCTGAAGGCGGGAGAGACGCTTACAAGGGTAGGTAACACCATGCTCAGAGGTCGTGTTGATGCAATTGGTGCCTCACAATGTGATATAAACGGTAAACTAGTCTATTCACATCAGCCAATAACAATGACTAGTGGTCCCGCAGTAGTCGAAATTCGACTATAATTAATTGGAATTGTATGTTTGTACACTATTATGATTGTATTTTATACTTCTATAATCACAAATTTCGCCAAGACTACACTATAAAAAATATTAACAAAGACAAACAATATTTAATCTACATATTCTCAATTTGACAACAGACGTCAAGAACAAAAGTTTGACAATAAATAGTATGCATGCGTGTGTGCGTCAAATTCATGGTATGTAGTGTGTGTGATGTTTTCTTTATTGATTTAATGTATCTTTTATGCATTATTTAAAAAAAAATTAGCATTGTGCACTTCTTCTGTATATTCTCTATAAGTGTGGAAAATTTCATACTACTCCGTCCGCGCAATTTTCGTAAAAAGGGATACAAAGTTTTTGCTTCACGTATTAATATATAGATTATTAGACGCAATACTTCCACTAAGGGTCTTCTAACATTGATCGGTTCGTTTGATTGCATGGCCACTCTCTCATCGCTAATACATGTACGCACAGATATGAGCAATAAATAAAAACGTTAAAGCACAAGCTATTGTTTTAACAACAAGATAATCGCATTACCGAGTTACTGAGTGCCGCCTTTATGTAATTAATCTTCATCTACAGCCGGGCTTGGGAGCGCGGGACAAGCTAACGATGGACGGCGATCTGAATATAGGTACTAACTTATATTTTATTTATTTATTTATTTCATTTACTTCAGAATTTGTATCTATATCACATTCATTAACGTTTCATATGGTATACCAGAATTAAATAACTACAATCTCGGAATAAAACAAAAGCAATAGTAATAATAATAATAAAACAAAAACTGAAAATTAACGTCAACACTACCTTAATCTAAAGGCTGGTTGAATTTTAAATATTGAAAGATGAATTTGAATATTGAAAAAAAAAAACAAGAAAATATGTGCCTTTCATTATTTTAAATTAAAATATTTGAAAACTCGTTACAACTTGGTCAATGGTCTGAACAAAGAGGTGAAAAAACGAGCGAATAGCACTTGATAACACGTAATTTTACTGCGTCCGGTTGATGAATGAATCCACGGCAAATTGGGATTGTGGTTGTCGGAGTCTATGGACATCACGGCACGAATGTCGTCGCTCACTCTAAAGCATGAGGTCACGGTCTACATTACTTTATAAAGCTTGCATGCAGATCAAGACCATCACTGATTTAGACTTGTAACGCGACTTAGCTGCAGTAATGTTAGCAAACCATTCATTCTAATTCATTGTATTTTATCAGCGTTGAAGTAAAGTAAAATCTGGGTCACAAATTCTTTGTTACTGCCCATCAAGCAGTAAACTATAGATGAAGCGATTTCAACAAAGACAGAAAATCATTAGCATGCAAGCAATTAGCTTTGTGTCGATCGTGAGATGTCAACAGGTTGTTTTGGTAAATAATAAATTTTCAAGAAAACCTCTTTCCACACAAAAATTAATACAGATATATTGAATTTTTAATGCGTGTAAGGGCGACCGTCGTCACAAAATCGCCTGTCGCCATTAACTTGATAAACGACCCAAAAAATCCATCGCGCGGAGACAAATGACGACATAGAATATGGCCGCTACACGCAGCCGAGATGATGGACATTCACTTCTATGCGGTTCCGATTTGCTAACTGTGTTTTAGTTACGAAACCTTTGGAATTCCTGAACATAAGAGGTATCAAATTTAGGTACAGATAATCCTTCCTGGTAATACAAAGGCAGTGAATGTTTTAAGCGCATCTGCAGAGTAGCTAATTGTGTGGCCCAAAAGTCGGTACTCATGAAGTTATGTGAGTTAAACGGCAACTCCTCGATCTTGAATACTCGTTGGACTGATCCTGGCAGAGGCACAAAGACACAGCGCCTGACTAGTTGACCGGCATCAATAAATTAGACAACATTAATCTATACATATAAATTAAATTGGAGTGTCTGTTTGTAATATTGAAACAACCGCTTTTTACTACACGCATATGAATTATACGGTACATACACCAAAATAACATTTTTTACAATTTTTGTCTGTCTGTCTGTTTGTTCCGGCTAATCTCTGGAACGGCTGGACCGATTTTGACGGGACTTTCACTAACAGGTAGCTGATAATATAAGGAGTAACTTAAGGTATTTTTTTTAGACTAGCTTTGCTCCGCGGCGTCACCCGCGGTTATCGCGGGACTCAACTATCAATAATAAAATTTATTGTTTCCGAAGCGAAGCGAGGGCGGGTCGCTAGTAACCAATAAACTCCAATAAGCTTTGCTTTGTAATTTCTTAGATCTTCACGAATCGCTCACCTATCATATACGGAGACGCATACAGGGGAACCGATATGACAAATATACTCGCACAATATAAGCGAAAAGCGATATTTATTTGCCCAGCGAAGCCTAAATACGTTAGGAAGTTCATAATGGCGCTTCGAGAGCTCTCTATTCCTATTCCGCATGGATCTCGCGCGTCAGAAGACTGGTGAACTGTGGTTTTTTTTTTTTTTTTTGATTGNTGTCTGATCGTTAGGTGTTCTGGTCTTGAGCGTTACTCGCAAGCTTGTTTTGACGGATCTCACGAGCCGCTCCCAGCATCCACCCATATGAGGTGCGTCAGGGGCTATGAATCGCCACTCCAAGTGTCGGATGCTACCGAAGGTGATGAGTTCGTCTTTGTCGATAGCTTGTACAGCTCGCTTCAGTTCACGGTCAGCCCCACGAAAAGTAGTCGCGTTGTCGCTTAAAATAATACTTGGACAGCCTCGTCTCGCTATCAGCCGTCTGAGGCTCATCAACACGGAGCTGGTTGTCAAATCGTGAACTAACTCTAGATGGATAGAGCGAACTGTCAGACATGTAAATAGTGCTACCCATCTTTTCTCGTGTCTACGTCCAACCTTCACTATAATTGGACCGAAATAATCTAACCCGGTGTAAGTGAAAGGTCGACTGACCTCCTTCAATCTAACATCTGGTAAATCAGCCATGACTGGTGGCGAGGGCTTCGCACGACTGTTCTTGCAGAACTGACAGTCATTCCATGTCATTTTTACTGCATTACGTCCATTTATTATCCAGAATCGTCGTCTCACTTCATGCAGCACACGTTCGCGTCCATTATGTGCTGAGTCCACGTGATACTGCATAAGTTGTAATTTCACATATCTGTCTTTTGGATTCAAAATTATAAGGTGCCTGAAATCGTTATCACCATCTGCTCTGCAGATCCTCCCACGAACACGGAGGATGCCGTCCTTGTCTAAAAATGGTGTAAGTTGACGGAGCGGAGAATCTCGCTTCACTTGTCCGGTTTTCTTGACACTTTCTATATCGTCTGAGAACATTCGTCTTTGGCTTTCTCTAATCCAGATTAGCTCCGCTACTTTAACTTCGTCGGCTGTCAACTCACCGTGTCGCTTGCTACTCTTGTGCATCCAGTTGTGTACTGCACGCATAAACCAAGCGGTGCTCCTGATAAGTCTCCAGTATCGGGAAAAACGACTGTCATCGGGTAGCTCTACAGTCATTA